GTACCCGAAGAGTCTGCGAAATGGTTTTTGACACAACGGCTAAATGTAATCGCAGCTCGGTGGTTTCTCCAGGTGATAAACGAGTCGGCAGTAAAAATCCGGGCTAAAACGAGGACTAGTTGTATCAACTCCTAAAAAGAAGTAGGAAAACCACGCTACACCCACCTCACTTCTGACCATACGAGCATTCAGTGTATCCACAATATTCGCCTCAATGTTCTTCAGTTGTCGACCACCAACAACGGTCAACTCCAATCTTGCGACGATTTCTCCATCTACGCCAAGACTTGCTGATGAAGAATAGTCCTTAAGACATACAACTAAATTTTGACGACAAGTGAGTTTCGAAGTGACCCAATGGTTTTTCTTCCAGAAAAGGTGAGGATGCCTGGGAATAATCTTATGTTCTAACGCACAAGCATCTCACAAACTATGGTAGCACCTTTTTGTCATTCAAAGCTCTAAATTCCAGAGAAAGAAGAGAGATACTAACATTAAGATGAACATAATAATCTGCTTACCACACTGAGATCCGAGTTTGAACAAAGCCTAGAGCTGAACGCTGTGCTGCTATTACCCATGCGCGGGGATATTCCTCTGTCCAGATTTGGATTCGATGGAGTGCAGACACCAGACGCTTCCTGAAAGTCCATTGTTAACAATAATCCAGATCACGTCTACAGTCTGGCAGTGTGGTAATACCTTACGCAGAGTTAAGACTTCGCGACAGCGTCGATCACGCACGCTTTCATCTGCGTCAATCACGCATGCTTTCGTCGATCGACGCAGTCGAAAGCATGCGCTATCAATCTCGTCAAACGCGCGACCGACCGTCGCAAAGTCTGAACGCTGCCTTACATCGACTACTGAGTAAGGTGCTTCCCATGGGACCGGCGTTGAAGATCTCTGTCACCACTGATGCCATCCTGAGCCCAGAGGATGGAAATGATTGCCCTTGTGCACCAATTCACACGCTTCTGCCAGGTTAATAACTGTAACTTCAAGAGAAAGGCCATATTCAAAATTGCTACAGGGACAGCGTTGTTCGGTTTGAGAGGGGCATTTTGCATTTCCGCTAGTTTCCATATTTACTCCCTGTTAAGTTATACATTTTGCCTTTGTGAGGACTACAGACTCTTGCCAACTGTGCACAAGGGTCTTGCTATTCTAGATCTACAGGAGTTTACTGGTCTTTACTGAAGGCACCGGCAGTGATCGATGGGGAAAGAAGATGAATATTGCCTCATCAAGCTGAATTGCGCCAAGATTTACAATCTTTTTACACCGCTTCCGCGTTCACCAGATATTGAACTCATACCCAGGACCTCAGATTTGCACAGCAGGGCGAAATGGACAAAAACAAAACAGCGAAAATCACAAATTCCCTGAACTTTTCAAGAAGGAGACCGACCTCATATGCCTCCCTCGCCGCTGCGACTTTCTTCTTCTTTTTCCCCTTCTTCTCGACCTGAAGCATCATTGACCTTTCAGAAATGAATATCACAGCTCAAGAAGAATATTTTTAAAAAATGCTCACCTTTAAAGAATCACCAAAGCTATTTGCCTCTACAACAGGAGGTGCCTCATCTTGCAACCACGCATCCATGTCGATCTCGTTGTTCTTTGCTGACGCGGCAGCAGCCGGGGCCCTCTTCTTCTTCCTTTTGTGAACTCTTCAAAAAGGACGGTTTCGCTTCATAAACTAGAAACCAAACTAGAGGAAATGGATAGCTTACCCATCTTCACCGCTTTTCTTCTCCCTTTTCTTCTTCTTTATCGAATCACCCAACTCCAGCGGGGTACGGTTTTGATAAGATGTCGTCGTCGGCGAACGGGGTACAAGAGCAGGCCGCGGGGCAGCACTCTGACGATTGTACGCCTGTGGCCCTCGTACCACTTCATCTGGTCGTAGCGGCTCGTCCAGGTTGATATCCAGCGCTCGGAACTCGTCCGAAAGGCCCTGCTAAAGAGTGGATATATTCAGACTGTTCCAGAGTCATTCTATTCTCACTATATTCCTCAGACGTGATGCAGTTGCTCACTACTGAACAGGACGCTCGAAAAAACAAGTGAATAAAATTTTTCTGCAAGGGGTGGTGTCATGGAGGGGGGGGACATGCGCACACGCGCGTGTCACCCTCCCATGACTGAGCAGCCTCTTCTCCATTTGGCTAAGCCTTGGCAGAGCGCAGACGTCCAGCGTCGGCTTCAGGGAGCAGGGCAGGGCACGCCATCTTTGTGATCATCACAACAGGGGGGTCGTATTTGCCCGCGATGGAGGGGGGTCGTAAACGCATGGCCCATGTTGAAGTGGAGAGAGCGGTGATACACGGTACAAGTGAAAAGAAGCTCAAAAGGGACGATGTAGATGACAATAGAACTAGGCACTATCGAACTATTCCTAGGCCAAGAACTAAAAAAAATTGCTGAAACTTTTTCCTCCTTCCTCACAAAAAACTTCAAGACACTTCGCCCACCAACCCTCCTCATCTGGTCTAGGTAAATCCCAATCCACTAATCCGCAAAATCTAGAAAAGAATCCATTGCAAAAGCTACCTATGAAACCGTAGAAATTGAATCCTGAGCAATTTCCTCACAACAAAATCAAATTCAACAAAACAAAATTAAACTCAACAAAAACAAACAATCAAAGTAATTCACAATAAAATGGATAAGAAAAAACTCACCGCTCAGCTGGGAACCGGAACTATGGATTACTTTTGAATTTTGGCTGTTCGCGGTCAGCGCGCTCATACAAGCTCATTGGTGCGCGCTATTTTACGGTTTGGAGCCAATTTCAAGCCAAACACGTGAAAAGTACCCCTCATTTGAACACCCATAACTTCGTTGAAAGTGAAGCTATCGGAGAGGGGTAAGTGGGAATGAGTAGAGCTAGGTTGGCTCTTGTCACCTGAATTGAGCGATTTCAAAAACGATTCCAGAGATTTTCCCCGTTGTGATCATCGTTGTGATCCGTCTGTGATCATTTTTGCGAACCGCGAGTCGCTACGCTTTGGACGTCCATGGCAAGCTTCATACACGACCTTTCGTAAAAAAAGAACTGTGCCGGAAGCTTGAAGATTTCTACTTTCCAGCAAGGTTTTAATTTCCTTCCTAGACCTACTATTCGAAAAAATTCCCCGTTGTGATCATTTTGTAATCACCCCCCACGACACCGAAAAATCAACCCCTCCGAGGCCAGGAAACCTCCAGTTGGCTCGAAGACTTTGGTATGCTTCTGAAACACATGTTTTCGTCAAGCATATCAGGTAATAGGCCATTGGGCGCCAATTGGCATCACATATGCAATGCGCCATGCATGGGGCTTTCACGCAGGTGTTTGAAAGGTGTAACTTCTAGATAGGGCTTCCCAATTGCAAGCAAATGTGCTCCTACGATCAGAAAAGTCCGGGAATGTACTTTCATCTGTTTATTAATCGTCACGTCGTGAGTCCTCTTGTTTGTTTATAAATTCATGGGGCCCTTGTGGGCGGTGATCGTAGCTCCTATCATCGCCCCTTCCTCGTACGTATTGTCAGTATGCTACACCAGCGCCAGAGTGCTGGACGTGCTTGGGACGTACGTAGGTACTGCGACCCCCCCCCCCTCGACAGCAAAATTTTGTAAAAAAACCAGAAACTTTTTGGGAAAAAATAGACAAAGTGGTAGGAGGTTGGAAAAATCTAGGGAAGAGGTAACGTGGGGAGGGGGGTCGTACTTGAAGATGGAATTAGGGGGGGTCGTATTTTTCAGGAAATGATCACAACGCAATGGCGTGCCCTGGCTGGGAGCCGCTCAGTCGCGCCCCGGCGTCCCCCCCCCCTTCTACCTCACTAAAGTTACAATGGCGCCTTTTGCCATAATCAAAAGCAATATTTAGAAATATTACCGCATGAGCGTCCTCTTCGTCTGTCGTCTTTGCTCCTTCCGGCATCTCACCATCTGCTCGGTTGACCTTCAACTCACAAAGTTTAGCAACAACGGTAGGCCGTACAAAATCCCTACTGTAATGGTGACTAAGAACTACTCTATACCCTATGCACTACATTCACTTCTTCTTCACTGGAACTGCTGACACGCTTCTTCTTCTTGCCCTTCTTGTTCATCTTCTTTTTCTTTTTCGTGTCCTCTTTGGCTTCTTTCCATGTCATGGTCGCATCTTGTTGTTCCATGTATCGTGACAACCCAACGACTCCTGAAGCACAGTAAGTTGAACTCATTTGCACATATCGCTGCTGGCCTATTATGAAATTACTTAGGATGCGGTCATACAGCCTCTATCCATAAGATGGGGAGGGCGTGGACCTGTGTTAAACAAAGACGACTGTCATTACCCCGAAAATGAGAACCTCACAGAAGCGCAGGCGCCGCCACCTTCAAATGGAGTGAGCAGTCATGCTCTCACCACTTCCGGGGCTTTGAGCATTTTGTGAGCGGAAAGGAAAATACAGGCATCGATTTAGCGTCGTTGCGCTCGAAACGCCCAGAACATCAGATCGATACCTATGTGTTCCTTTCCGCTCTAAAAGCGCTCGAAACGCCCAGAAGGCGGCGAAAAGTAGGAACACAACCTTTTCCAGACTTAAATTAGAGATAATGTGAATAGTACAAGCTAATCGTAATGGATAAAATAGACTTAAAACACAGCCTTTATGAAATGACCTTTTTCAAAGTACAAACAAAATATCCTGACATTCGGAAATTTTGCAAATCGTATTGCGATTTCCCTTCAACAAGGAACAAAGACCATACCAACAAAACGCTGCAAGCTCAGGTTAGAAAGCCTTCAGACTTTGCGTGAGCGATTGAGCGTCAGTGAGTTCTGAGCACATGAAGTGCAGGTATCGATCCGACGTTTCAACGCGCAAGCGGACGCTCCGCTGACAGATGCTTGAAACTCTAGATCAATTGCTATGCCATCTTAATCGCTCCAAAGACCAAAACTCAGCGCGCTGACAGATGCACAGAACACTGACGCGAAGTTGGCCCCATTTTAAGATCCTACTACTTCTGAGAAAAATTACAACAACTTGGGACCCTACCCCTGGGCTGCAGTGTGGCACCTGTACCAAAAGGAACTTACCAGGTATTTCCAAGGGACTTTGAATGTCGACTTTGTCCACATCGTTAGAATGCAAAGATTCAAGGGCAACGAAACGTGTTGGACGTTTTGGAGCAGTCGCTGTTCCTTTCACATAGTATGGATTACTTTCTCGTTCCGCTTCACGTGCTTTGCGACGTCGCTCAATCTCTTCAGGACTTAACTCCTTGACCTCCTAAAAATATTCACTAGTAAAGCATGGCTTCAAAAAAAAAAAACAGAAATTGGAGGAACACAAGCGAAG